CGCCTCCGTGGCGGCCACCGCTGCGGCCGCCGCCGCGGCCGCCGCCGCCCTTGCGGCCGCCATCGCGGCCACCGCGGTGTCCCTGCCCGTGCTGCAGCTGAGGGCTCTCGGAGAACCACCAACTCGCCAACGGGTCGCCTTCGCTTGGAGGTGGGACCACGGCGCTGGCCGGACGAGCGAAGGGCACTACGGTGCTGCTGCTGGCCGACATCGCCCACCCAAGAGCGCCTGGGTTCGGACTTTTTGCGGGGTATGGGGTAAAGAGCACAGCTGCGAAAGAGCGCCAACATCCGGGGGCAGCGTGCCCGAGAGAGCGTTGTTGCTCAGGTCAAGCCGGCGAGCCCGCTCCACGCGGCGAGGCCGACGGCGGCGGCGAGGACGAGATACGGCTTGCGGTGCTGCCCGCCCGCGGATCGGCACGGCGTCGCTCACGCCGCCGAAAGTCGGAGTGGACCCGTCCACTCTGAGTGCCAAAACCAGCAGCTAGAAAAGGCTTGACGCCGACAGTCTCGAGGATGATCCTCTGGAGCTTCGGCCGAACTCCAGCAATGTCGGAGCGGATTGCAGCCAAAAGGGCAACGGAAATGCCACCAGCGCCACTGACCTTGTCGGCCTTCTCGCGGTAGATGGCCCGCAGCGCGTCGTCGGAAAAGAAGGCCTTGAGAAGCGCCTCGGTGACAAGGTTGTCGATCCGCTTGATGACGCGTTGGGAGACGACGATCTCGGCCACAACCGCAGCCTGTCTCTCAGAGACCGTCTTGTGGACAGTTCCGACCTGCGCAAAATCATCGGCGGTGGGTGACTGACTGTCATCGGCGACGAACTCGAGCAAGTCGGCAAAGGCACGCGTCTTGAGCAGCTTCAGCTCGTAGCGCGCGCAGCGCACCGCATCGTGTTGGGTGCAGCAAACAGTGGGCGCAATGTTATCTATGTAGACAGCGCAATTCGTAGTGAGGAAGAAACCGATGCCATCGCTGTGATGCAGTCGGCTCCACTCGAGAAGAGTGGCCAGGTTCGCCGCAAGCCCGTCGAGGGCGGCGGCACGGTCGAAACTGCATTCCGTCACCATTGCATCAGTTTCTTGTTTAGCGCCATGTAGGAGATCCCGAATTTCGGAATACTCCAAGGCTTTGGTGGGCGTGTCAGGCATGACAACTTGGTGTGGCCAGACGAGGCGAACCACCCCAGCGGAGATAGGCACGACGCGGAGCTCATTTCACAAAGCGACAAGTGCAACGCCAACTGTGCCTCCAACACCAATGGCCTGCAGAACTCCGTGAACGATCCACAGGACGTGATCAATCAAGGAAAGCCGGGCGTGGTCGCTCTGCGGGGCGAGATCGGTCTCAGCAGCCCTACATGCGGTGCGCTAGCGAACGACGGGTTCAAAGACACTTACACGGACGGCGTGGACTTTGGCAACGTGCTGCAGAAAGAGTACACCATGTGCTCCATCACCCGCTACTGGAAAAAGGATGGCTACCCGGGGCGCGTAGGGCCGGGGTGCAGGGACGATGTCCTGACCGGCCAAACAGATAGATGCACCAACGCCCAAACCGGGCCGCCTTATGATATGAAGCTCGAAGGTTGCATCCGATCTGTATACGGCCACTCGGGCCAAACCGTTGGCATCAACCGGGCGGGTTACAGCCAGTCAGGAGGCTGCTCATGGGGGCCCAACTGCAACATTTTGGGGTCCTACGCTGACGTATGCTGGTGTGTCGGACAGAACGGCGGATGTGTCAACGTGCATCCACGGGCGGCATACAATCAAGTCGACGACAACACCTACCAGTGGCTGGTGCTATGCGATCAGAACAGCGCCCCTACTACGCCTGGCGACTCCCAAATCAAGATCGCCAACAACGTCCAGTTTGCCAGCAACACCGCTCAGGATGCCAACAACCAGATCAACGAGCCCATTCATCTCTACATCAATCCGAACTACAAGCAAAACCCTTCCAAGGGTTTCCCATCCCACTTTGAGGTGGTGGAGGTCATCACGTGGAACAGACCGCTCTCAAATGACGAGATGCGGGCAGTCTTCAAAGAGCTGTGGGTGACCAGGATGGGCAATGAAGACAGCTGCGATTGGTTCGACCCCTCGAACAACAAGCCACCTTTTGTGACACAGGGGGGGCTGGGCACGCACCACGGTAGGTGTGATAACTTCCCGGATGAAGGACGATGCATCAACACTTTTCTGTAGGTGACTCCTTACCCGAGTTGGCGACGTATGTTTTTCCGACTATTGACCATTCGCCCTATTCAGCAGGTCCCGCGGCACGACGGCTCTCTAGATTACAACGATTGATTTGCTGTGGGTTCACTCTGTGGGGTGGTGGTTTTTGAGAACCCCTGCCATTTTTGCAAAAAATCATTCCGGTCCAAAGAGCTCCCGTCGACAACGCGAAATGTGACGACGGTTCCGTACAGTGTGAAGAGTCGAGGCAGGAAACTTCTGCAGTAGCCAGGATCCGTCTTGCGCAGCAGGGTGTACGTCAGTACTCTGAGGGTGTGAGGGAGGGTGTAGAGGATGTAGCGAGTGGAGCGCTGTAGAGCTGTAGAGCTGTAGAGCGCTGTAGAGCTGTAGAGCTGTAGAGCGCTGTAGAGCTGTAGAGCTCTAGATCCGGCGCCCCTCCGCCTCTTCCGATTCCACGGCCGCCCCGGCACGAAAGAGTCGGGTACCCAGTCGGAGAGCGAGAGAAGAGAGCCAAATGCCAAAAGTCGCGTAAATAAACATACAGACAGGACACACAGGACATAGGAAGCAGCTCCCGCACGCCGCAGCCTCGGAGGGGTCGGGCTCGGCGCACGCAACCCACATAGCCACGGACACATGGCATGGAAGAGGAGGCGAGCTCTGGCGAGGTACTTCCAGCCTGCTGTGGTTGTGTGGAAACAGCTCACGCTGTCTCCTTCGAGGGCGGCAGAGGCTCGCCCCGGCGGCTCTCCCGTGGGCCCGTGAGGCGTGGGAGTGCCTTGCCAAGGCGAGCTAGACGGCAGGAGCAGCCCAGAACGCTCGTCTACACGGGCTTAGGCGCTGCTCGCTGGCGCTAGACGGGCCTGTCCACCTCGACGCGAGGTGCTGCGCACAGTCGAGAGCCGCAGCGCTCGCGAGGAGCGGCACGCAGAAGGGGTGCTCGATCGTGGGCAGAGGGAACGTCAGCCGCCCACCCCCAAAGTGCAGCGGCAGCGGCGGGTGTAAGAAGCACCACAGCGAAGCCAGGGTTGGAGCCGGAGGGGCCCAGAGTACCGCATCAGCACAGAGCGCGAGTAGCAGCAGCAGGGCGACCGTGAGCCATTTTGGCGCGGGCGCGAGATGGGTGGCTGGCTGCAAGCCGAGGTAGGCGCCGAAGCTGCCCGCCACCACCATTATGCCCTCAGGGCTCGCCTCCAACTCCCGTGTGCGGAGTGCTGACAGTTCTTCGGGTATTTACTCGCAGATATAGCCAAGATTGAGCAGGCCCACGGCGACAGCGGCGAAGCAGGTAGCCGCGGGAGTAACGATGGCGACGGCAGAGCCGATGCGGGCATGGCGCGACCGGATGAGCTTGTCAGCTACAAGCATCGCACCCAAGGCAATCGCGGCCATTGCCACCGCGAGCTGGAACGCGGGCTTGTTGCGGAGTTCGGTGAGAGCGACTCCGAGGATGCCAACCGCGCCGGCGAGGGCATAGAGCGGCCACCGGTGCAAGACGGCGAGCAACGCGACAGCCGCCGAGGCGGCTGCTGGTGTCCGCGTCAAGCTGCTTGATGACTGCCGCAGAGCCGGAGGAGATATGGTGATCACGCAACCCACCTCGAGACCATACGCAACCCACCTCGAGACCATACGCAACCCACCTCGAGACCATACGCAACCCTCGCGGAAAAAGAATTCATGCCGGCGCCCAGCGCTGCCCCGCCATGCCGCCGCCCGCGCGCGCTTGGGCAGCAGGTCGTGGGACCTTCATTTTTTTTAGAGTTGTTTTGTTGTTTGACCTTCATCGAGAGAGAGAGAGAGATTTTTAGCAATACCAAACAACTCTAACACTCACACGTCATTTGGGGCCTGGAGCCCTGTTCACGCGCGCGCGAGACGTGCAGACAGGGTTGCCAGGTGAGAGCGAATGGCGCGGTTCACGCCTCGCACAACAGAGAGAGAGATGCGCTCTGCATGGTGGGACATAAAAGAGAGCGAGTACTTGGGCGAGTAGGCCGTGCGGTCGACGCTGCCGCGCGCGACTTAGGAACGGCGGCACGACGGCAGACCACGGCAGCGAACGGCGGAGCTTTGGGCGGCGGGTCAAAACGGCTGAGCGGGGCCCGGGGGTCGAGGGTGAGGCGATTTTGCAGCTTCGGTGAGGATCCATTGGCGCGTAAAACGGAGAGTCGTGGATCGCGCGCCTCCACTAGGAGTGTGACGCAGTATCTCTGACTTCAACTCTGTTCTTCCTTCACTTCCTGCCTAGAGCCTAGGGAAGGAAGAATGATTTCTTGTTGGGTGTTCAAAAATCTCTCTCTCCTACCTCGAAAGTCAGTCAGTCAGTCAGTTCCGCTTCCTCGATCTTGGCTCGTTCCAATTCACTCTGACGCGCTAATCTTGAAAACGCGAGGGGGAACGGGGAGCGTGTTGGGAGGAGAGACGATCGAGGGGTCCCGTACCATGCGGAATCGACCCTATCAAGTGCTCAAGTGCTCAAGGAGAGTGGATGGTCGATGGAGATCTGCGACACGCGCACACGCACCGCCTTGGCTCCGAGGAGCGGAGCCGGGGGCGACTTCGGCGCGGAGAAGACGACGACCTTTATGCTGCCGTCTTCGGCCGACATGATGCCGACCTTCACTGCCGTCTTGTTCTCTGACATGATGTTGATCGAGTTCACTCGTACCTATGAGAGGAAGGGGGGTTAAGAGGGCCGTGCAAGAAAGAAAACAAAAACATAAAAGTCAGGGATGGGAGGACGGCACGCCGCCGCGCGCGCGCAAAATTCTTTTTCAGACCTCATTGCACACCGGCAACAGTGCATGTTGCAGGGTGCTTTGGCTGTCGCTTTCGCGCTGGTGCCGGTGCCGCTGGCTCCGCTGCAGGCAAGCGCCAGAGCGCCGCCGCTCGTTGCCAAGGAGCAACAACCACAGGGCGACGGCCTGGGCGGGGCCGTCAGCGCAAGCTTGAATGAGCTCTTCTCCAGCTTTTTCAAGCCCGACGAGGAGAAGCAGGCGGAGATAGACCGCGCGTACGCCGAGCAGCTGGAGGTGGCGGCGCGCCGGAAGAATCCCAAGGCGTCCGCTGAGTACATGCGTGCCACCGAGAAGAGGCGCCGCGAGTCCTCAGCGGCGTTTGCGGACAAGTTCGCGTGGCAGCGGGGCAAGGAGGACCCGTTGGTGGAGTGGAAGAAGCGCCAGAAGGAAGGAAAGCTGAATCCGCTGGGATACGAGGACGAGCCCAAGGGCGGCATCCCGATGCCCATGGCCTCTTTCGGCGTCGGCGGTGAGTTTGGTGTTGGTGGCAAGTATGATAACGGCGAGCGCTTCGACCTGCGGCTGCCGTACGCTGAGCAGGGCTGGGTGGAGGGTGAGGATGACGAGCAGGCGCCAGGCTTCTTTGAGAACCTGCTTTCGGGAGGCAAGCTCCAGCGCGCTTACGACGAGATGATGCGGCAGAAGCGCGAGAGATGAGAGACGAGCGTGAGACTGAGAGCCGCGGCGGCGCGCGCCCCAGAGTGGAGCCCTCTAGCGCCCTGGTTCCGAATCCGGAATATGTGACACTCAAGTTGGCCGTGTTCGCAACATGTAGAGTTACTTTTGTACGACTACCACGTGAGAAGAAGAGCGCATTTTTGTATAACACACGTACACACACACAGGCTCCCTGTCTGGGATCGGTGCGAGAGTGTGGAGAGATCCGACGCGGGCGCCCCCCGGGGGCGGGGCGGCGGGGCGCCGCAAAGCGCAATCGCATACACCCCCACTGAGCACTGAACAACGCCGACTCTCGCCGCAAACGCTCCTACCTTCATCGCGGTGGCGTCGCCCGCGGCGCAAAGCCGACCCGCATCGCCGTCACGCGCGTGATGAAGTCCTCGTGGGAGAGCAGCTCCTACAGCCAAACATCCCCCCCGCTCCTTCGCCTGCGTGTGCAGCCTTCCTTCGGTTCAGAGAGCGTGCGCGCCAACGGCACGTCGTCGTCGCCGCCCGCGCCGCCACTGGCTGCGTACGCCCGGAGCGCCGCCTGCACCTCTGCGAAATCGAGGTCGCCGCTCGCGTCGCTGTCCCACGTGTCGAATGTCGCGTCGTGCTCCTCCTCGCTGCCCGGCAAGTCGAGCACCTGCGGGGGGGAGCGGGTCTCGATATCGAGGGTCTCGAGGGGTCAAGAGCAGCCGCAGTCGAGGCACCTGCAGCACCAGACGAAACTCCGAGCGATCGAGCCGGCCCGACCCGTCGGCGTCCCAAAAGGAGAAGAGCTGCCGAATCCGCTGCTCGACCTCGCTCTCCAGCTCGTGCTGCCTGCGCACGCTCGCGGCGTCCGCCGCCGCCACCGCGTCCCGCCGCCTGGCCCAGCCCTTCTGGACGGACCAAGTGCGCCGCCGGTCGTCGAGCCTACTCAGCACACAGCCGTGGCCTGGGCGCCCGAGTTCTTGCTGCAACAAGTCGTCTCAGGCGTGCAAAGCCCGCCGAACGCCGAGCCGCAGCACGCGCTGCTGCAGCCGGTCCGCCTCGTTGTAGTGCCTTTTCAGCCGCGCCTGCACGCGCCTCGCGATGAGTCGCTCGACGGTCGCCGCGTCAAAGTCCGCCGGGATCCGACCGAACGGTTTGTACACCGGGACCTTGGACGCACGCGGGCGCTTGGCCCTCGCGCCTCGCTCAGCCCGCTCTGCTCGGACAGCCGCGGCTCCGCCCGGCTCCTGCTCCTCTGCGAAGAGCTGCCTCTCATCGGCAAGAGCTCGCGCAGAGACGCGAAGCGACACGATCGTCCGAGCTTCGTCCGCCGCGCTAGAACCAACACTCGCCTCAACCCGCACCGCTGCCCTGAGCGCGAGAAGGTGGGCAGCAGGGCGGAAGAGAAGAGTTGCAGCGATCAAGCCTCCCCGCATGGTGATTATGATTATGCAGGCTCGGAGCTCTGAGCGTAGTGACCGCCTCTACGTTTGCTCCGGCGCCTGCCTTCGCGTGCCCACTCTTCAAGACGGCAAGACCAGCACCGAATTGCTGGCAATGCCGAGGTGCCCCCGCGATACACAGGTGGCTGGGTTCCGGCTCCTAGCCGGATAGGGGGTCTGCGCAGGCAGGTTGGTTTCATCTTTTTGGTGTACCTGTGTTAGTGCCAGTGCGAGCCAGTCCCGTGCCCAGTCCTGTGCCCAGTGTCGTGCGAGGGAGTTTTGTTGTAAAATTCATCTTTTTCGCTTCGCTCGCTGCGCGGCCTGGGGATAGGTAGGTAGGCAGGGCGTTTTGGCGCGAGTCAGTGGGAACAGACCCCCTATCTATCCGGCAATCTACGACAAGGAGGAAAGAATTTTACGACAAAACTCCCTCGCACGACACTAGGCACGGGACTGGCGCGCACTGCCACTAACACAGGTACACCACGGGAGCCGCCTAAGCGACTCCTGCGAGGACGGCAAGGCACTTAGGAGTCCTCTTGCCCACCGACACGGCCTGGCAAGCCACATCGAGGGGGAGACCCAGGCGGCGCTGCACCGAGATCCGCATCGCCCAGGTCTCCATTCGCATGTCATCCCGCATGGGGATGGCGTTGAGGAAGGCGCCGGCGCCATCCTGGCTCACCGCCACGAAGCGGGCCGCCTCCCGCTAGGCCGCGTGCCTCGCCCGCTCCCTGCCCTCGGCACGCGCCATGCCCCTCTTGCCACGAGGAGCAGACCGCGATCCCGCGGAGCCCTCCTCGGCGAGCTCCATGGCGAGGTCGCGCCAGTTCCTGTTGTGGACCACCGTCGTGAAGCGCCGCTGCGCCTGGTGCAGGAACTCGTGCTTGGACGTGAACTCGGCGAGGGACAGCAGCTCCTTCTCCGGGACGAGAGTATGCGGCCGGAAGCGCGAGAGGGCTACCCTCGTAGCCGGCTCCGGTGGCCGCGCGGAGGCGCGCAGCTTCTCGCCCTCGTCGGGCTCGTCCCACGGCTCCACCTCGACGTCCGGGGCTGCCCATCGTAAAGGGTGTGGATGCTGGGTTGACGGAAATCGGAGGACGCGACCCCCTCGCCACAGACGCTCCCGCGCCTCGCCGCTCTGACCGCTGCACGGCCCATACCATCCGCTGTGCAGCGGTCTTTGTCCGGAGTGAAAAGTCCAACGGTCGCGCTCGTCGGTGACGGTGTCCCCTCCAACCTGCGCCACGCTCGGCGAACCTCGACAGCGCTTTTGGTGGCATGCAGCTCTTTGCGACAGAAGCCTGGAGAGCAGCTCCTCTGCTGCTCACACACTCTGCACAGTTGACACAGCCTACTGTGCGGCTGCCACAGCTGTGACAGCGATGGGCTCGCCCTCACTGGCCCTCAGTCACTTGTGCTGCGGCTTGTGTGAGCGACACTGCTCGGCGACTGCCGGCACACTGTGAGACCATGGGTGTGAGGTAAAACCACGCTACCAGCGCTTGGTCACATCAGTCCCGAGGTCAGATCCATCTACTCTCGTCACTCCCCCACCATGCGTCCCCGCCGATCGTCGCCTCTCCATCGGCGGCCACTCTCCACTCGTCGCCTCCCCCGTCCAGGGCCATCGTCTTTTTCGTCTTTTCCTTCTGCTGTGCATCGCTATCTGCTGCGTCGCTCTCTGTGCTCGGCTCCTTGCCTAGGTATAATGTTCTGAAGGGTAGCGCCGAGCTATGTCTGTCGCGTTCGGTCTCGTTGCGCGTGCTCTCTTTGATGTTGTCTTGGCGTTGTCCTGCCTCGTCACTGTGGGAGGCAACCTCGACGTGTCGTTTTATTGTGGACCACATCCTGGTCAGCGTGTCGTCGTTTGGTCTCTGCGCCCCCGCCGTGTCCGCCCAGGTGTCGATCGACTTTTTACAAGATAGTAGAAGCGGAAAACCGCATCGCTTTTATCCCTTCACGACGCGCAGCCTCGACGGCAGCCCCATCTTCCGGAGCGCCTCCTCTCCGAGGCTGGCCACGTCTCTCGCCTGCGGCGCGTCGCGCCACTCGAATCTCTGCTTGTCGCCGCAGGAGGCCCAAAAGGAGCGCCAGTAGAGGCGGAGGCGGCAGCCAGGCGTCGCCTCCATCGCCGCGTGCACCCGCTCCTTGAGCGTCTCAAAGGCGTCCGCCTCGAGGCCGTAGCTGCGCAGCCGCTCCCTCTGAGGCGCAGATGCGGCGGAGTGGAACTCGGCGAAGATGTACGAGACGCTGCCGGAGCAGTGCGGGGGCGCGGCGCGGCGTCAGCCGTCGCCAGGGCGTGGTGTGGTGTGTCGCGTGCCTTGCTGGGGGGGGGGGGGGGGAAGCCTCTTCCCAAGAGCGCCGCTCTTGGAGCGCCCGCCGCCACCACCCAGAGCTGCTGCGAAGCGCCAGGCGCGATGACGGCGTCGCCAGGGCGTCGCCAGGGCGGGGGGCAGGCCGGGGCAAGGGTGGGGGCGAGCCGGGGAAGTGCCTGCAGAGCAGCCCTGGCTCATCGAGCAGCCGTCGCAGCACCCACCACTCCCCGCCCTCGACGTCGAGCCTGTTCACACCTCCAGCTGTGACGAGGCGCCGTTCGCAGCACCCCACTCCCCGCCCTCGACGTCGAACCGCAGCGCGAGGACGGACGACGCGTTGGCCTGCGGGGGCGGGCGGACGGCCGTTATGGCCTCCGGGCGGGGGACGAGCGCGGCGGCGCTGCCCACCGCGGTGGAGAGCCTCATAAGCCGAGGTACATTCGGGAGATATAGCCGAGAACTCGCCGTTCGGGGACCTGCTCCTTCTCTATCCATCTCCTAGCTAGAGAGAGAGAGAGAGAGAGAGAGAGAGAGAGAGAGAGAGAGAGAGAGAGAGAGAGAGAGAGAGAGAGAGAGAGAGAGAGAGAGAGAGAGAGAGAGAGAGAGAGAGAGAGAGAGAGAGAGAACGAGAGAGAACGAGAGAGAGAGAGAGAGGTCTCTGCTTTCTTTCGTCCGTGCACCTTGACCACGGCGCGCACAATCTCGTTCAGGTCGTACGAGCGGCCGAGGACCGTGCGGGAGGAGAGCGGCAGCGGCTTGCGCTCGACGTGCACGTCGCGAAAGTCGAGGGAGGCGGCGGTCTCACCCCAGCGGTGCGAGGCGTACCGCCACACCGGCCGCGCCTCCTCCGCGGCCTGTCCACAGCTCGAGCTGTGAAGAGACGCCGTTCACACAAGCCGCGCCTCCTGCGCGGCCTTTTCGCAGCTCGAGCTGTGAAGAGACGCCGCGCACACCCGCAGCGCCGCACCCACAGCTTCGCCGCCGCTGAGGAGAGTGTGTGGCCGCCCGCTGAGAGTCTTGCCCGTGTGCCCGTGTGTCGCTCCTCCGTGACCATCTCTCCATCTCTCCGTCTCGCTAGCGTCGCTTGCACCGTCCGGTTCGACAGCGCGCCGTCGACAAAGCGGACGTCGAAACCGCGCGCTCGGAGCGAGGCCTCCTCCTCGCGCAGCGGCGGTAGCAGCGACGGCGCAGCCTCGAAGGAGCGCACGCAGAAGGAGCGCGGCTCCCGCAGCGGACCCATCGACGCCTCCTTCTCCCCACGGCCCATGCTCGCCCACGCCGCTCGGTGGTTGCGCGGCGGCGCCTGCATCGCACAGCTGAAGAAGCGTCCGTCGGCAAACGCGCCGACCGCCTCGCCCATGTTGGAGCCGCCGTCGATGAATACACGCCCGCACCCTCCGAGCATCAGAGCGCTCAGGTCTGGGACGGGGCTGCGAGCTGGTGGCGGCGGTGGCGAGAGAAGCGGCGGCGGCGGCGGCGGCGGTGGTGGCGGCGGCGGTGGCGGCGGCGGTGAACGAAGCGGTGGCAGTGGCGGCGGTGGCGATGGCGGTGGTGGGCTTACAGCGGGTGGAGGCGGCGGAGAGGGCTTCTGCGCAGCTGCAGCCACCAGAGGCGGGCTAGACTGCTCGAGCGGCACTGGAGCAGCGGGGAACGCGGCGCCGACGACGACTCTGTGTGCATGCCCGTGCCTCGTCACCACGGGCCGCTCAAGCAGATAGAGCAGCAGCGGCGTTACAACCAGGGCGAACAGAGGGGCGCGTTGGACGAGCCTTTGCAAACAGGACTTTGCCATTTACGCGTCCCAACCGGATTCCGGCTCCTTGCCAGATAGGGGGTCTGTATGCCGCCTGTCGTTCGCTCGGGCGCCTTGGGCGTCGGGGTGGCGAGCAGGGGACGCAGCTCTGAGCGCCCAGCGACGCGTGCCGGATGGAGTCCGGCCGCGGGTGACTAGGGAAGTTCGCTCAGGATGTGTGGCAGTCAGTTCGGCTGAGTGTCTTGTCTTGTGGTTCTGTGTGTCGCTCCTGTGTGACCGTCATCGCCCGTCTAGCGTCCACCCATACCGCGTTGGTGTCCCAGTCGTTGGTCGGACTGTGTTTCGCCTTCCCATCTCAATCAATCAATCTTGTCTTGTGGTTCTGTGTGTCGCTCCACTCGTTCGGTCCCTCAAGGTCCCTGCTGTCTCCTATCTCTCGTCGACGTCGTATTACGATCTAGCCTCTTGCTGCGTGCCACACTTGCACACATGAAGCGCATTGTACATGACGACCATGTGTACAGTACTACTATGGAGCGGACTCGTGCTTTACACAACTCACAAGGAGTGTAAAAGACCTTGCGTGCCGCTGGGCCAGTGTGCTGTGACGCGCGCGATCGGCACCCACCCACGTGAACAGAAACATCGCACAAGGGAGGCATCGGCGGAAGAGGGGCGGACTACCGGCCTTCTCGCTTCGCGGCCTGAACGTCGTGCGGCAGTCGGAGGTTTTTAACTGTCGAGGGATTTGCTGCCCTCCTGCACCTCGGCCAAACGGACATCTGAGGTCCACCCGAAGGCCGTAGGGGCGACTTCGGGCCAGCGAGCGGGGCGAGGGCCGAGGTCTCGACCGTCGGCGACCCAGCTAGCAGTGATGGGGAGCATCGTGCTCCGACTGCGTGCCCTGCCGCTCGCCACCGCATGGCGGACGAAGCGTGACGGGGAAGAGGGCCCAGGGGCGCCGAGCAGCGGCGTTGTTTGCAGCGTCGGCGGAGTCGGCGGCGGCGGCGGCGGCGGCGTTTCGGCGTATCGCGTTGTTTGCACCGCCGGCGTTGTTGGCGTGGGCGTCGGCGTCGGTGGAGGCGGCACTGGAATTTTGGCTGAAGTCGCAAGTCGAACGGTGTGCAACGGAAGGTTGTCTATTGAAGTCGCCGTTGTCATCTGACAAAGCGAAGCTCGACTGCCGACGCGGACTAGCTCAGGGCGACCCCCGAACGCTCTCTCCATCCAAGACGTTCTCGACCCGTCGTGGTCCGTGAGCCGCCACAAGAAGTGGCAGCGGATGAGGAGGATAAACCAGGCCATCATTATCAAGCCTAGGACACCGATCGAGAGCAACGTAGAGGGTGACGGCAGAAGAGCGGGCGGAGGCGACGGCGGCTGTGACGGCGGCGGCGAGGGAGGGGCGGGGGCCAACGAGCGCGGCTGGGCAGGGAAATGTGCTGATGGCACATCCATTCGGAGGAGCGAGGGGGTGGTGCCTTGGCTACTCGAGCCTGCGGCGAGGTAGAGTCGCGCAGGGGCCGACTGCTGCGGAACCCACACAAAGACGTCAAACGAGCACGCCTTGGTGGGTGGGTCTTGCCTGAGCGAGAGGGTGCTGCCTCGCATAGCGACACCTCCACCGAAATTGCCGTTTATTGTGGCACAGGCGTCAGAGGCGAGAGTCACAGCCCACGAGAGGCTGTCCGCCTCAGCAAGCGAGGAGCGGTGAGCGTACTCCATTCGTCTTGCGAACCTGATTTGGATCTGTTCGGGAAGGTCGGGTGCGCACTCCTCGCCGCAGTCTTGGTCCGGAAAAGCTTCCCCGCTGAGCTCGACCTCGCGCTGAGGATCGTGGCTGAGGCCGATCAACAGGAGCTCGTAGACAGTCTGCACTCCTGAAAGAGCCACCTTGACCCAACCACCGCTTTTGGCTTGGCTCCAAGTCTTCACGGTTGCCGTCATGTCAGAGAGCTCGTCGGCGCTCCGGCTGGTATAGTGCTGCATCGCCCAAACCGCCCTCGCGGAAACGTCGTCCCCCCGAGGAGCGCTGTCCGCAGAGCCTGCGCACCGGGCTGCGACTTCTCCCGGCATGACCGTCTTCACTTGCGCCGGCACCTGCTGTAATGTGTCGTAGGGGGGCTCGGCCAGAATATACCAAAGCATCGCGGCGACGTCGTAAGCGCCGATGGCTCCGTCGTTCGAAGGCAAGCACTCGCCCTGCTCGCTGCCCCGGCAGTCGCGTTTGACTCCGAACCGTGGTCGGTGGTAGCGGGTGGAGTGGTTGCGAGACGCGGCATGGAAGTGCCGTGTCTCTGGATCGGAACTGTCCACGAGACGTTGTGCGGTCGTCCCTATGCTCGTGGCGGCGAGTGTTGTCGGGCCTGCCAGGTCGATGCATTCTAGCTGAGGCGCGCTGGAGACGGCACAGGCAAAGCTGCCGCATCCAGCGCGCCAAAGCCGCTCTAGAGCAATGTACTCCGCCACCAAATTGCCATCAGGTTCGAAGACGTGGTCACCGAAATCTCCAAGCCCCATGAAGTCGAGCGTGCATGGGCGGTTGCGGGCAGACGAGATCCTGTAGTGATCGTGTGCAGGAGGAGCAGTGGTTACTGACGGTGGCGCTCCGCCGGTGCTGTTGGTGTCGCCAGCGGCAACGCTCAGCCGCCGTCCTGGCGGCTGAGTGCGGTCCATCTCTTCCCAGGCGAGTTGGACCTGGGGAGTGTACCAAGCCTCCACGTCGATCACGTTGAAAAAGTAGCCATGCCTGACGCGAACGCCGTAAACTGACGTAGGGTTGAGAGCCTCGCTCTGGCGCCATCCCCCGCTTGATGTATCGCCCAGGTTTTGAGCATTGAGTGCGACACCATTGGGTGTGCTGTACATGCGGAAAGGCGTTCCGCCAAACGCCTCCAAACAGGACGTCGTCGCACTCTTTCGGTGACTGTTGTCAAAGCACCTGCCGGTGATAAACATCACCAAGAATGGTCTTGATATGAAGAGACAGTTGAACCAGGGTTCGCGTCCGCAGCGGCCAGTCCGAACGCTGACGGTACCGGTGCAGTTCTCGCTGCACGAGGACCCAAGCGAGCGCCGAGCGCGACTCGAGACAGCCGCCCCCAGGGTGCCAACGTCAGGAGGCAACGTCTCAAGCGCCGCCTCGATCACGTCCGAGCCGCCTGCAAAACCCGCGATTCCACGGGCATCTGCGGACGCGATTGCCAGCGCGAGGAGCTTCATGTGCATGGGTCCTGACGAGTCGGTCTTGAGAGTCGGTTGACGTGGACCTCGAGCAGGAGGTTCTGATGAAAATGATACACCGTGAGACAGAGTTGTTTCGTTTTCTCCCCTTTTGGCCAGTTGGGGGGGGCAAACCCTGCCCGCCCCCTAGCGCCCCAGGTAAGGCCCAGGTGTGGCCTAGGGCATCAGAAGGGACCAAGAGGAGTCCAGTCTGAGCCATAGAGCCCATGTCTTTGCCCCCGAAGGTCGCGTTCAAATGCCCGGAACGGACGTACAGTGGTGTCCGGCCGGCGCGATCACCGAGCTGTGACGCAGGGCAGGGTTTGCCCCCAACTCGCGGGCAGGGTTGATTGATTGATTGCAGGGTTTGCCCCCAACTCGCCCCGGCTTTTTTTAAATACTAGCAGGTTGGCTCGCTAGTCGCTCGCCGGGCCCGCGCAGCACGCGCGGGCCTTTTTTGTGGTTGATAAAGGTGGCACCATCGACATTGCACTTGGAGCACTTGGAGTGCATTGCGTTTCTTTTCTTTATATACGGGCTGTCCTCCTATATTTAGGATTCCTAAGCTTAAAGGCCCGCTAAACGCGCGAGGCGGTGGCGGCGGTGGTGCGGGGGATTGGCAGGGGAGGCGGCGGGATTGACAGGGGATGGGGCGGCCACGAGCGGAGCGGCGGCGAGAGGGGGGGCGGCGGCGAGGGCGCGACAGAATGCGCCATCGAGCGAGGAGCCCGCGCCATCAGAGGGACGCGCCGCTGCGAGATGGAGGGCGGCGGTGACGGAGGCAAGGCGCGAGGCGGCGGCGGCGGCGGCGGCGGCGGCGGCGGCGGAGGCGGCGGCGGCGGCGGCGGCGGCGAGAACGGCGGCAGGAGGAGGAGCAGCTCGCTGTTTTGAGAGCGCTTTTGAGCCTGGGATCCCATGCCACTGCGACCGGCGTGCCCGGGAACAGAGATCGCGCGCGCGCCGCCACTCACGACGCGCGCGCGATCTTCGCGGAGTCGGGTCCCCAGAGGGAAGCGGTCTTCTCGGCCGACGTCCAGCGGCGCGCAAGGACAGGCGCAGCGGTGCACCGCGGCGCGTTGATTCGCGACCACCGTCGGCCGCGGACGGCGGCGGCGTGGCGGCCGCGGGCGCTCGCGAGACGCGCCGCTCTGCGCTGGTACGGTTCGTTCGACTCGTTGTGCCGCCGCACGCCCGGCGGCCGCGGGTCCCAGAAGTGTGCGCGC